TCCACCCTTTCTCCCCCCAGCCTGTACGGATACCGGGGGTTCCCCCGACCCAGGGGCAGGACCTTGCACTTGGCCTTGTTGAACCTCATGAGGCTCACTCAGGCCCACCTCTCCAGCCTGTCCAGGTCTCTCTGGATGACATCCCGTCCTTCCGGTATCCACAGAGCCTACCCCATTCCAGGGGTAATTCTGCCTTTCTATGCAGTGCTGCCGAAGGACAGACAATGCACGCTAGGCAGGCTTCAACAACGCGGCTTCCGCGTAGATTTGGGCAGCAAGGGAAGAAAAGAGATGTTTTAGCTGGGAAGAATCCTACACTCAGGAAAAAGTAATTTTTGGGAAAGGATAACGAGGTTTCAGCACGAAACCCTGGCTGAGACAGGCCTGCTCCTATAGCAGAGCTGCAGGGGACGTCCTATGGTCAGGCTAGGGGCGCCTGCAGCTTCACACGCTGATTTAGGAGACGATGTGGAAGTGCGGTGCAGCCTCCCGCATGGGAGGTTTCCCCTCCTTCTGACTCTGCTGCGAGCACGTGAGGCGGTGCGAGTTACTCAAGTACCTGTAGCCTTGTCACTCTGCGTGGTCCTTGGGCGCGTGCACAGCTGCCGTGCACAAATCCCTCTTTAGAGGGAAAGACGTACATCCACGAAACCACAGAGAGCTCTGTCGAGACCTAATCTCAGGCAGCCACTCTGATCTGGTAATGCCCATGGCAAACTTCCCATGCAAACTCAGCCAGGACAGGGCCGGGCGCCACAGATGCATTTTTTTAACCCAGAAACTTGCAGTCGAGAGCCCAAAACATAGAACTCCCTGTTCTTGGCTGCAGAAATCAGCCTGCTTGGGGACAAGCTGCAGGATCTGGGCCCCATCTAAAAGAACTAAGGCAAGATGGAAACAGCGAACAAGCAGGAAGGCAATGACACCGCTCGGCTGCTGGCAATGGTGGCATTTACGCTTTTTCACATTTTAAAAATAATTTTACTTGGAAAGCAGGAACGCAATGACACCGCTCGGCTGCTGGCAATGAAAATTTTTCACATTTTAAAAATAATTTTACTTGGAATTCACCTGTCAGACAGTAGCAGCTTCAGCTTTTTTATTTCCCCAACCCCATCAAGAATGGAACATGGGATCTTTATACCACAGCTTCTCCTCTGCCTGGCTTCCTTTCTGGGTGCCTTACCCAACGCAGAGCCCCGTTCCTCGCCCAAACCCTTCGCTCAGAGACAGAAATCCATGATGGACAAGCCAAAGGAAAAGTGACGGCGGGGTTGTGTCATCACTCAGTCCGGGTGCTGAGATGTTCCCAGTCTTCTTGGTCGTTTATGCCACATGAGAAATGCTTTTCCCATCAATGCTTATATGGGCAAAGGAGGAAAAGGGAGGAAATGATGGAAAAGGAGGAAAAAAATACCTTTCCAGGGATTAACAAACCCTGTTACTGCATGCCCCGATCACAAAGTCCCCTCCTCATAACGCTAGACAGGCAATAGAACCGGTAAGAAAGCACCTTTGTAGCTACATATTGACATACCTAT